GCGGCAGCCGCTGGACCGGTGGCCGGGAAGGAGGGGAAGCCGGGAGCGGCGACTTACTGCCGGGTCCTCGGCGGGAAGGCGGGGCTGCCCGGTGACGTGCTTGGTTTGCTCTGCGGAAGCGGGAACCGCGGAAGGTTTTGAAGCAAAGGAGCTATTCTGTATGCGAGTTGGCTGGCAGGATGCGTATATACAACAGGGTTGCTTTGCGGAATGTATGTTGCTACGTGAATCTGGAGACGAGTATGAGATCCAGATTTCAGGAGTGGGTACCAGCTCGGCCCCCCAGAGTTGGCACGAAAATTGTTTTAAACTAAAGACATTTGAGATTCAGCAGATGCAGGAAGAAGCGTCGTCGGATTTTCTCTCACCACAAAGCAGAAAATTCTGGGAGTGAGGCCGCCATAGATCCTCTCTCCTAGGGAGTTAGTGGCCATGAAGGAAAAAAAAAAGTGGACCACTTGCATCTGTGTAGACAAACACTATGGCAGACTTGCCTATCTCCCGTTGTTCCCCTGGAAACCCATTTGTGCTTCTTAAGTTATTAGCCCCTACCTTTAGCCACCTAGGGAGCTAGCTGCCTCTTTGGTTAGGTTCCATATACATACTAAGAAACTTTGAGGCTTTTTTTCTTCTGTTAATCTGACTAAATGTGTAGGCCCCCAGGCACTGAACCTTAGCAGATAAGAGGAAAAGCCCTCCTCTAAACGTAACCAGGTGGCCTTTAACTAGTTCTCCCTGCCCCCCCTGCCCCTGTCCTCTCAGTTGTGGCAGCAGAAGCTAATAGGGACTGTTTGACTCTGTTCTCTGTGTGTGAACCTCTTCTAGGTTTTTAAAGTTCAGATATGGTTTTGCAGATTTCTTACAAAATCGGTTATGTTTGTGTGGGACTCTGCTCACCAACCCTGTGGGTTCCCATTACATGGAGTGGTGAGGGAGTGACTCCCTTTTGTATTACATTTTACAGGTCTTGGATTGGCATCGCCTGATCCCCCTCTCCTGGGCCAGCATCTCGAGGCAGACGCCTCATTTTGGAGAACAGAAAAGGGCAACGGCTTCCTTGCTGCGTAAACTGACCACAGGCTCCAGTGGAGGGGCCCTTAAGGGGTTACCCCATGTCCAACCCAGAAAGTATGTGCAGGAACTAGAGTGCAGCACAAGCCTTACTCAGTGCCTCCTTGAGAAGCAGAGGGCTCCTGTGGATGGAGGGTCTTCGGAGCGAGAGGAGGTCATCAGTTCCCTCCTGGACATGGGTTTCACTGATGTCCATATCCAAGAATTGCTCAGTATACAACCAAGTCCCCACCCTCAACAGTTGCTGGCTATCATCTCAAAGTTAATACTCTTGGGTGTGAATCCAGAGCCTGTGTGCGTGGCCTTGAAGAAAAGTCCCCAATTATTGAAACTGCCTATAATGCATATGGAGAAGCGCTCCAGTTACCTTCGAAAGCTTGGGATTGGAGAAGGTACAAAGTGTGGATTCTGTATATAGTGCTGAGTCATTCTGAGCTGGAATACAAATAGCCTAGGTGAGATGGGTTTAGGGAGGTTTCTGGGAGAAAGTTCTTGAAAGGAATGTGTGATTTGGTTTGGAGGTGAGGCAGCAGGCATTGCAGGAAGGAAGGGGGAATTGAATGACAGGCAGGGACTCTTGTCTGGATTGCTCACCTTGGGGACTCAGCATCTAGAACAGTGGTGGGCACATGATGCATGCTCAGCAGGTGGATGTTAATCTGTGATGTTGTGTAAGTGGGCATTTGTAACCTTTGATGTTTAAATAACTGGATGTGGACTTAATGCTTTGTATCTGTATGATGTAAAGCCAGAGACTTACAGAGTCCCTTGTAAAGACTGGATCCCAGCTGGGTGTCTTGACATACTGTGGAACATGAGATCTTACCAGATTCCTGGGAAGCTGGTGGAGTGGCTGTCTCCTGCAGACACTATCCTCACCCCCATCAGGTTTTATGCCTCCAGGATCCTAGAAGTTCATTGGATCTCTTTATGGGCCTCTGGAGAAGGGGGGATAGGGGCCCATGAGGGTCTCCAATTTGACCACAGGAGTTCCACTATTTTATATATTTTTTATTAATTTAATTTTTTATTTTATTTTATTTTATAGTGTAATCTGATAGGCCAAACTTAATGCCTTATGCACTGTTACATAAATTGGCAAGCTCAACACAGCTTTAAGCTGCAAAGATAAAGTCTAAATTTCTGAAAGTCATTCCTGACCATTTTATCAAGGCAGTGACTAACTCAACTGTTAGGAAGATTTTAATTAACAGTTTGAGTAAGTGATTTTAAGTTTCTAGGTGCTAATTTCTCCCCAACTGTCCATAGGAAACTATATATTCTAGGGCAGTCTCGATTTATACATTTATCCTAATACGGTTAATAGGGCCTCTTTCACTTAAAGTGCCCCAGTTTGGGTAAAACATATGGTCTTCTCACTAACTTGGAATCAGTAGTTGTGGCTGTGCATTGTTGTTACCCCACTAAGTATTGTCATGGATCATCTTCCCATGACTTTTACTATGGAAGGAACCTCAGCCCAAAGCCCCCACTTGGGGGACACTACTATCCCATCTTACTGTCTGACTTTTCCAGTCAGTCCTTGGGAAATTCTTTTCTAGGTGAGGAGGGCAGAAGGAGACCTAGAATATGAAGTACGCACCTGTCAGCTGGGAAGCCAGAAGGAGGCAGGAATGCCAGGGAGGGAGGGAGGGTTGTCCAGTCTGAGGAATGAGAGCATCAGCGGAGTGATGGGCTGTTCTGGTTTCCCACTTCCATGGTGCTGGTGGAAGACCTCGGAGGCTGGCACCCATTTGGGGGGTGTCCGTGTTCATTTTGAAATGCTGGCTTGACTTGGGCACAGCTAGCTCCTTTTCTGAAATATCCTTTGTGTTCTACAGGGAAACTAAAGAGGGTGCTTCACTGTTGCCCCGAAATTTTCACCATGCATCAGCGGGACATTGACCGCATCGTCAAGGTGCTCAGGGAGAAGTGCCTTTTCACGGTTCAGCAAGTGGCTGAGATTTTGCACAGATGTCCCTATGTTCTTCGGGAGGACCCGGGGGAGCTGGAATACAAATTCCAGGTGAGAGTGGCAGAGTGACTGGAGGACCCACAGCGGACTCTGGAATGTAGCAGGGTCAGCTCTGTGGGTAAGAAGCATGGGATACCCCCTGGCCAAAGAACCTGGTTTTGGTTCTTTCACGTCCGTACAGGTGAGGTGGATTCTGCAGCTTTTCTGTATTAACGGTGAGTAACCCTGCCCCATTCTCAGAGTCCGAGTGGGGCCTCTGTTTGAAATAGCTAATTTAGAAATAGGTAAACCTTCCTATCTTTAGAGCCTGTTTTGCATGTTGATATCAGAAATGACTATGACACCTGTCCTAATTTTTTTGGTAAACAGTTATGATGACTTAGGTCAAATCTCTAGATGTTTCCTGATTCATTGTTTTCTTCCCCCATCTAAAGAGAAATAGAACTCCCGCTCTTTATTTCCTGCAACAAGAATTTGAAAATGCTTTGAAACTTGTCAGCCATCCATCATGCAGATGTGGGTGTCAGAGGGTGCCCTGTCTTGTTGGTTAGGTGCGCTTCCTGAATGCTTTTGCACAGTTCGAGTTTGCTGTGACTGTGGAAGAACAGGTCTGAGGACCCTCCCTGAATCCTAACCTGCCTGTGTCTCCAGTATGCCTACTTTAGGATGGGGGTGAATCACTCGGATATGGTGAGGACCGACTTCCTGCAGTACTCCATCACCAAGATCAGGCAGAGACACACGTTCCTGGAGCGCCTAGGACGGTACCAGACCCCGGATAAGAAGGGGCAGACACAGATCCTCAACCCTCTTGTCAAGGACATTCTCAGAGTTTCAGAAGCTGAGTTTCTGTCCAGGACGGCCTATTCTACTGCTGAGGAGTTTGAAGTTTTTAAGAAGCTCCTGGCTCGGGAGGAGGAAGAGGAGTCTGAGAGCCACATGTCTGGTGATGAAAGCAGTAGTGAGGAGGAGGAGGATGAGGAGCTGTGATACAAGGCCCAAAGACATTACAGGATGTTTTAGTTCTCTCAGAGCTTTTGGAGCTTCACGTCCTTGGACCTTCTCAGGCTATTTTTCATTCTAAAACTAGTGTTTTGATGAAAAATTATTATAGATCACCTGAGAAGTAGGTCAGACTTAGTTGGAGGTTGGTTAGTTTGATTTGTTGTCAGGTCTCTGGGGAGAGCCCTGCTCCATCGAAAATAAAGACTGTCAGCAGTTGGAATTGGGAACTCAGTGCATCAAAATTTGGCTTTATTTTCTCTGTCATAGCTGTGGGTGATGTTCCATGACAGTGTGGGGGACAAGGATCCTTCTTCTGGTTCTAGTCATTTTACATTTCCTTCTAGTGGTAAGGATACAATTATGAGAATGCAGGGAGGCTTTAGTACATCATAGCACTTTATTTTATGAAAACAAGTAGCAGGTTTTCCACAAAAATACTCATGTTTTTAATCTAAAAATATTACTTCATAGTTGCATTCAGTGTACAGCAGAGTAGAGGGAAGTGGGTCAGTTTGGCTTCATTTTGTACAGGTTCTTCCTGCCAGCACAGTGCTGGGCACTTCTCTCTCTTGTGAGGAGCAGGCCCTGGCTCTGACCTCAGGGAATTTGGCTTTCATGCCTGCTCATGGCCAGCGGGTCATGTCAGGGCCTGATGTCTCTAGCAGGCAGCAGTGCTGACCTGGGGCATGCCAGAACAGAAGGAGCCATGGGGCAGATACAGTCAGGCATCCCCCATCCTTTTAGGGGGCTTTGGAGGCCAGAGGAGAAGAGCACGTGAACACAGCCAGGGGCCAAGGGTCTGGTGGTTGTGCAATCCAGGAGCTCTCCGTGACACCCAGGGGGAGGAAGTCCCCTAGGGAACCCAGTAGGTCTAAGCAGTGACTTGAAGCATTGGGTCAGAGGCCCAGACCTGAGGGCATGAGCTCTATGATAGGGGGTGGTGGGGGGGAAGGGTGGGTACATCCTAGGATGTTCTGGGTACCCCTTCTTTGGGCTAATGCTGCAGAGAAGAATTTTGGTGATGTGACCAGAGTGTAGGCTGGCAGCACTTAGAACCTTTAGGCTCCCAGCTCTTTCCTGCAGACCATGTGAGAATCCTGTCAGGCCCTGTTCTCACCCGAGGCCATCCTGACCAGGGAACATCTGGGGACATTTTTGGTTGTTAGGACCAGGAGAAGGAGCAGTTGGGACCCAGTGGGTTGAGGCCAGGGCTGCTGTCAAATGCCCTGCTGTGCACAGGACAGTCGCACAGAATGACCAGCCCTAATGTCTCTGGCTGAGGTGAAGAAACAGCTCTCAGGCCTGGGCCCGCAAAATATGACCGTATTGGCTCATGAGAACCTCTGGTTTTAAATGGGCTTACATTTGTTGTATTTATTTTATTTAAAAGGAAAGTAAATCGTTTTTAAAGAGAGTTCCTTTCCCTGTGCTCTGGATTGCAGTTGGCTGACTTGAGCTTTATTTTACAAGGGAATTCAGTGCTGAATCAAAACAATCGTGCTTTTGCTTTCTCTTGGCTCCGGGACTGCAGAGAGAGGCACTGTGTGCAAAAACAAGTAGCTCAGGGAACCTCTGGACATGTGAGCCAGACATCTGTGGCCCTGGCTGGCCAGCGGGAGGTGGTCCAGCTAAAGGAAGGTGCTGGAGCTCGGTGACACGAAGTGGCCCTTGCCTGCTGAACTCCCTGGTGGCGAGTAGCTCCATTTCCTCAGTGACAGCCATGTGCAGTGGGGAAAGGGGACATTCTGTCTTTACTGCCTTTCTTGGCCAGAGACAACATTTTTGAAAAAGAAAATACTTCACCACATGCCAGTGTTTTCACTTACTCTCCATTTTGTGGTGTCCGAGTGACCAGCATGTTCCCTGGAGCCTACAGTGTGGTTTTTGTGCCCAGTTAGGAGACACAGTGGAACCCTAAATCCCAAATCTACGCCTAATTGGATGGTCAGGTCACCCAGCCTGGTCAGCAGGTGGCTAACTCTGCAACTCAAGGTCGCTCCCCTGTGATTTTGGCACAGAAGTAAATGTTGATGCCCTGACAATTTCTGATCCATTATCATTAATTTCTTTGGGTGGACATTGAGTATTTTCAAGGAAGAAGAGTTTTACGAAGGAGCCATGTGGAAGCTCGTTTGGAGTGTTTCAAGGATGATTTGTAATTTCCTTTAGTGTCAGGAAGTCTTTGTACTAGATATTTAATTTGTACAACATCAAAATGGGCTAATTGTAAGACCACACGGCACTAAGCCCAGAATTCAGTAGACTTGTAAAAACAAATGCTTCTGAGCTAAAATCGAGCACGTCTGCCTCATGGCTGAGGGGCTTGAGGTCATTAACATGGTCACAGAAAGTTTCATCTGCTTTTCCAGTGATGCCACTTGGTCTTGTCATTTGCTGGTGATGCTGTAGCTTATGTGGACACACAGTGACAGGTCGCAGTGCCGCAGCAGGAGTCAGCGGCATGTGTTCATGGTCATGGTTTTCTCCTTTCACCCAGGGTTGGAGCCCCTTGATGGAGCTTGTGCCTTCAGATGGCCCTGAGACTGGGAGCGCAGTAGAGATTTCTGGAAATGACTAATCCTCCTTTCTGAAAATGACAAGTATACTACACAGACACATGTACACACAACTTTAATAAAAAAAAACCCACTCTAAAATATACTCTAACTCTTTAAAAAATGTTTTGTAAAGATGAGAGGAAGGAGCTCTTCCTATGGCTGCAAAACTGACTTGGGCAGTGTCAGTGAAGACACACCAGGGCTCTGGTTCCAGTTGGGTCGGCTGTTAAAGTGCCCAGCAGGTGGAGGTGGGCTGGCTTCTGTAGTGGCCTCACTTGCAGGGAGGAAAGCTGTTCAGAAGGCTCTGGAATGCGGTGTGGCGATGATGTGCAATGCTGGGAGCTGTTTAGTGTGGAGATGGTGCTTGCTGCCTGGTAGTCTGAAACTGTGTTGCCTGAGTCTTGGATTAAAAGGATCTTAAACATTGTTTGGCCTCGCCCGCCCCAGATGCCTGTCTTCATTACTCAGACCTGTAAGGAGGCGCCCTGGCTACCGCCAAGTGCCTTCCCAAACAGGGTTTGTGTAGCAATTCCATGACACTCGGGTGGGTCTTTGGTGCCATGCTGTGACTTGTCGTCTGGGATGGCTTTCTCTGCATCAGGCCGAAGCCTGAGTGGGGTTAGCCACATATGGTCAAGGGGAAGTGGCCCCCAATTTTGTAAATCAAGTTTTATTGGAACAGCCTCACCGGACTAGGCACATGTCAATGGCTGTTTTTGTGCACAAGCGCAGGGCTAAGTTGTTGCCACAGAGACCATCCAGTCGACAAAGTCAAAGATATTTCCTGCCTGACCCTTTCTGGGAAAAGTGGTAGACTAAAAGTGTCTAAACTCCAGCTTAGTATGATATGAACATTTTCTCTTTCAAAATCTGCTGGTTGGTGGATGGATCACTCACTAGCCTTCACCTCCCTCCGAAAATGACCTGCTGGGGAGGTGAGCCTGCTTCCCTGTGCCCCTCATCAGTCTGCCCTCCTTGCCTCCCAGTCCCACCCTCTGCTCTGCAGGTTGTCGATGGCAGCTCCTCCTCGTTTTGGCTCTTGGGTCTCAAAGGGAGAATTCTTTCTCTGATTTAGAATCTGGAACTAGTTTCTGGATGTTGCTGAGGCTTTATCCAGTGTTCTCCGCACGTGGTGGCTGCTCGTCAGCGATGCAGGCCACCCTGGAGAAACTTCCAGCCCTGTGCTGGAGGCAGTGTGGGACTAGGAGGTGTCTGACCTAGAGGACCTCCCTGGCTGGACCCGTCTGGCCATCTGTCTTCTAGAGGCCAGAGGAGCGAAGCCACAGAGGGGACAGACTCCAGCCAGGACCTTGTCACTCAGGGTGTTCTTGTCAATTCAATTTAGACCTCATCTTCCAGGGCTTTAGAAACTTGTGAGGTTGATGGATTATAGCAAGAATGTCCAGAATCCTTTGAAGAAAAAAAAAGGGGGGGGGCATGAGGAGAATGGTACCCTTATCTCTGAGACGGTGACTTCTCATCTCGCTTAGTGCCTTCGGTCGCTGCCCAGGCCCCATGTTGCCACATCAGAACTGTGAGGTCCTTGCCCTCTAACATGGCCGTACACAGGGTGGGGCAGGTTTGTTGAGGACTGACCATGTCCCCTGGGGTAGGGGCCTTTCAGCAGCATCACAGGCCGCTCCCCCATTCGGTGATGCCCTTGATCTTTCCTTGCAGGCATGCTGCCCCATTACTCTGGGTTGAAATGAGTTCTTATGTGGTGGCTTTGGTGTATGACTGTGTCTGTGTATTTCTGTGTCCTGTTGGTTCGTGTTTTCTCCATTGTTTCAAGAATTAGTATTGTAAAAGCCAGTGGAGGGTTTCTGATTTGTTTTTAGAGAAATGGATTTGTTGAGCAACTTTTTAAAAAATATATTATCCTTTCAGGCGACTTATTACAATATAAATATTTGAAACCCAAATCATATTTGTGGGTTCTTGATCTCAGTACTGAATTGCTTGCAGGGCTTGGAGTATGTGTTTTGGATACGCATGTCTTTGGAGCCTGCGGTGGGGGGTGATGCCTTTGAGTGACTTCACATCTGATGGGACGGCAGCTGGAGGCCATGGTTCTCTCATGGCACTTCCCAACTGCAGATCCCTGCCTGGGTAGTGTGAGCTCACAACTGCAAGGCTCTTTTGCTTCTGGTTGTTGGTAAAGGTCTCTGAATAACATTCCTCAGCCATATTGTGACCATGGCTTGTGTGAAGCTGCGTGTACCCGGAGCACCTCCCTCTCCTACCACATCGGCAGTGGGCTATTTGGCTCATTGATGGAGTGAGAGCAGTGAGCTGTCCCAGGCCACCAAGTGACATCATGTTGACAAGAACCTGTGGTCAGTGGGAAGCTCGGTATCTTTCAAATGACTGTGAAGACTTGGGCCGCTTACATGTGGGGAGGTGGAGCCCCAATAGGGTTTGGGAAATGTTAGGTGAAATCAAAGTCAGGAAGCTTCTTTCATCTCAAGGTTTCTGAATGCTCCTAAGCACTCTCTCAGTGACAGAGTCTTTAGGACCTCCCAGAAGTTGTGACTAAGACCCCACACCCTGTTTTTTCTTTCAATAGATGGCCATTTACAGGGTCTGGAAAGCACTCCCTTAAATCCCCAGCCCCTAGCATTCCTGTGTCCCCCACCCTGTTTCTTGGTTCCCTTGAGACAAAGCAGTTTGTCTTCCCTGCAGAGAGCTTCATTTCTACCTGAAGACGTATCTGTCACAGGTTTGTCTACTGGGAGGCCTTATGTACTCTTTTTCTCACCCAGCTCCCTCGGAATTCTGAAGCCTGGTCTAGGCTTTCTAACAAGAGCCTCCCTGTAGCTCTCCTAGCTGCTGCGAATGTAAGTACGTACCTAGTACCTACGCTGTCTTCAGTGTTGCACTGTTACTTTGTTTCCTGAAAGAAATAGAGAAGGTGGTTTATGAAAAGAAACTGTGGATCTGTGACCTTGTGGTACCCTCCACCCAGCCGCCTGCTGCCACCCCCTTTTCTTTAGCTCACACACCAGTGTGCCTGATGCCAAGGATAGCATTTCAGTCTGTATGCCCCTTCCCACTCAACTGAATGGCTGGGTGATTCGTGCAGCATAAAGGGGGGCGGGGTAAGGGGGGCAGTGGGGAGTCTGACCTACCGACGGGGAGACAAGGACACACTCGCACCAGCAGCAGCCTTTGTGAATTGTCATCCTGTTTTTCCTGAACACTGATGCAGACCCAGTGTGTGTGGTTATTGGGGGTCTGTGAAGACTGTGCCTAGGCTCTTTTGAAAGCATGTGATGTACTCAGTACTTTATGTAATAACTAGAGGCCCGGTGCATGAAATTCGTGCACTGCGGGGGGGTTATCCCTCAGCCCAGCCTGCACCCTCTTCAATCTGGGACATCCCTTTCACAATCCGGGACTGCTGGCTCCCAACCGCTCGCCTGCCTGCCTGATTGCCCCTAACTGCTTCTGCCTGCCATCCTGATCACCTCCTAACCACTTCCCTGCCGGCCTGGTCCCCCCCAACAGCCCTCCCTCCCCTGCAGGCCTGGTTGCCTCCAACTGCCCTCCCCTGCAGGCCTGGTCCCCCCCAACTGCCCTCTCCTGCTGGCCTAGTCGCCCCTAACTGCCCTCCCCTGCTGGCCTGGTCTCCCCTAACTGCCTTCCCCTGCTGGCCTGATCGCCTACAACTGCCCTGCCCTGCAGGCCATCTTGTGCAAAGATGTGATGGTCAATTTGCATATTACCTCTTTATTATATAGGATTATTGTGACTACCTTGAGCCCTTTAGGGAAGGAACCTAGGTGTGAGAGGGTAAAAAGTAAATGGAGACTTGCTGTATTTGCAGTTATGTACCTGGGCCTGTCCTAATGCTTCCCATTTTGAGCACCAGATACTGAGTGCACATGCATGACCAGAGTCACCCCTCACAGCCCCAGCACCACCCTGTGACCTACTCTAGCACTACCCTGTGACCTCCCACAGCACCCACCCTCTGACCACCCCAGCACCCACCATGCCTAGCTCCTCCTGTCTGGGGTGCTCACATGCACTCTGGGCAGATATACAGCCTGGCTCAGCCCCAGGCCTGTTGTATCCACAGTGCTTAGTCCCCTTGCCCGTGGCCCTGTGAGCCACAGCAGGACAAGCAGGGCCTCCTCCTGAGACGCACCTGCTTGGGGTTTTCTTGATGCTTGTGCTCTCACAGCTCTCTTTGAAGCAGATATCCTGGTGTACCTTGTAGACTCGTTTATACCTGTCACAAGAAAGCTCCATCAAGGCAGGAACTGGAGCAGAATGGTGCCCAGCTGGTTCACCTAGGCTACATGGAGACCAGATAACCGTGCAGGTGTTTGAGGGAAAGGCCATTATTTTCTTAATAAAACTTTACCTTATAGGGGCATATTGAAATGTCCCACATAAAAGTCATGTAATTTTTAAAATTAACTTTACTAAGGCATAGTTTACATAAAATAAGACACACCCATTTTAAGTACATTTTGAGGAGTGTTGACAGTTATATGATATTAAGAGAGAAAATGTGAAATTTAAAGGACATATCTTGCTTGAGGCAGGCCACTTGGCCCAGTGGCCTTGAGATGCTATGACCCACTTCTCCATTGATGGGCAGTTCACTGTGAGAAACCTTGGAGATGCAGGCATTAGATGTGAACAGCGTGGAACAGGAGAGCTGACTTCATGCTCTACCTAGCCTGTCTCTGGAACTTAAGCCTCAGTTTTGTGTAAAATGGGAATAATTCATATTACCTCTCTCACAGGTTTATAGATGACAATGAATGGAAAGGACTTTGGTTCTTTTTAAAACTCTCAAACATCACACCTGTGAAAGAGAGATCCAGGGAGTTGGATGGGCACAGCTCCAGCTCATGTGCTCAGTCTAGGACAGTGGTCAGCAAACTGCGGCCCCTTGAGTGTGGCTCTTCCACAAAATACCACGTGCGGGCGCGCACGTACAGTGCGATTGAAACTTCGTGGCCACACTCAAGGGGCCAAAGAGCCGCATGTGGCTCGCAAGCCGCAGTTTGCCGACCAATCGTCTAGGAGAGCCATTGGGAGTTAAGGCCTTTGGTAAGACTTCCAGCCATCAGGGAGTAACAGGATCAGGAACTACCTCCCAATGCAAACAACCAGAGAACTGGACAGAATATAAGAAGTAACTTTTTTCCAGATATTAGAAAACAGAGCAAGACTATGATCCCTGAGAGAAGGGAAATGAATGAGATGAGTCCTGTGGTCACCCTGGAACTCATTCTGGAGATACTTTTTGGACTTCGTGTCAGGTCAGGGGTTCCAAGCAGTGGTTGCAAGTTGAAACAGAGTGGAGTTGGGAAGACAGAGGCAGTGGGACCGTGTGGGGTGGAGCACTGGAGAGGAGGGAGCCATGCAGTGGAAGAGAGCCAGAGTGGAGAGATCTTGCTCAATAAGAGGCCATTATATAAAAATAAAAACCCCAGTAAGGCCATGCCTTAGTAGTGGGGCAGAATTAATCCCAGAACAAAGCTGGTGCTAAAGCCACCCTTAGCAAGCCTCAAAAGAATCAAAGTCAAAATAACTGCCTTGCAGAAAAAAAACAAACCCAACATTCTTGAAAAGAGTACAAAAAAATATTTAAAAATCCAGCACGCAGTAATAAAGTTTACAACATCCAGCATCCAACAAAAATTACAAGACATTCAAAGAATTGGACAAAGAATCGAGAAACTCATAAATAGGCAAAAATAATTGATTAGAAAAACACCTAGAAATGGGAGCAGTGACAGAAACAGCAGAAAAGGCCTTAAACATCTATGATAAATTTTGTTCCACATGTTCAGTGGTCTAAAGGAAAAACGTAAACGTAATGAGAGACATGGAGGATCTAAGAAAGAATTAAGTGGGACTTCTGAAGAAAATGGAAATTTTGCCAACTGGATTAGTGGTCGGTAAGACACTGCAGGAGGAAAGGTCAGTGAACTTGAAGGCATAGCAGTAGGATCTATCTAAAATGAATAGAGAAAAAGACGGGGGTGGGGAGGGGTGGAGAAATGAAAGGAGCCTCAGTGACCTATGGGACAACATCAGTCTAATACATGCATAAGTGGAATTCCAGAAGGAGAGGAGAGAAGTGGAGGAACAGAAAAATATTTTAAAGAAATAATGGCCAAAATGTTGCAAATCTGATGAAAGCTAAAAACCCAGAGATACAAGAAGCTTAATAAACTCCAAAGAGTAAACACACACACACACAACCACACGAAAGCACATCATAGGTAAGTTTCCTGAAACCAGTAATAAAGAGAAAACAGAAGCAGCCACAGGGAGTTTGGGGACATATTTCATAGTCTTCTTATCTGAAACCAGGCAAGGCAGAAGACAAAGGAAGGACCTACCTCTTTAGAGTAAGGAAAGAAAAAAAATGTCAACCAAGAATTTTGTATTTAGCAACTTTATCCTTAAAAAATGAAGGTGAAGTAAAAACCTTTTTAGGAGCAGAGAGAATTCATTGCTAGCAGACCTACACTGTAGGGGTGACTGCCGGAAATGGCGGACATGCAGGTAAATACAAAAGATTTTGCTCTCAACATTTTAAAATATATTGTTGAGAGGAAAACAACGTTTTGCAGCTTGGAGCATGGTGGAAGTAAAAGTCTGACATCAGTAGTCAGAACTGAGGGGAAGTAGAGGCAAGTCTTCCCTTAGATAAAGGGATACTGTGATGAGCATATTGTTAATCTCTAGATCCACTAAAATTTAAACCAAAGAAGTATAACCAATGAGCCAACAGGAGAGGTAAAACAGGATCTTAAGAAATAATCCAGAAGTAGGCAGGAAAAGAGAAAAAGGTAACAAGATGAGATGGAACATAGAAAACAAGTAGCAATGTGGTAGATTTAAACCAATCACATAAGTCATTATGTTAAAATGTGGTCTGGTTCCTGCAGTGAAAACCAAGGCTGTGAGCCTGGGCGTAAAGCAGACCCGACCCTGAGGAAGTGGTGGGGTGGGGAGATTCTGGCAGGAGCGGAGCTCTCCTAGTCAGGCCCCCGGGAGCTGGTGGCTGCTATGGCTTTGGATGGCCATTCCCCAGACCCCAAGTCGAAGGCCTTTCAACGCAGATCCCAAGTCCCAGTGCAGCTCAGAACTTCCTTTGTCTAACACACCTATGCTCTCTGTGGATGGCTGTCTCCCTCTGGATGGAAGGAGCCGCGGGCAGGGCGAGGGCTTGTCCTGTTCACTGCATGTGCCAAGGGTTAGAGCTGTGCCTGGTTCCCAGATGTGCTCATATGTATTGGCTGACTAACCAGATTGTGAGTGGGACCCAGAGTCACAGAGTGTGAGCAAGAAAGGTCCTAAGAGGCGAGCAAGGCCACATCACCACTTTGTGGCAGAGCCGACTCCAGCTCTCACAGGCTGCTGTTTAGTTTTCCGGGGCTCCATGGCAGAGAGGACCCTGCTGTCCAGGGAAGGGGGCTAATGCCGCCCGAAGGGTCCAGAGCCAGGGTGTCAGGGTTCCAGAACTCCTGTGCCTCTGCTCCCTGCTGCATGGACTCAGACAAGTTGTTCAGCCTTTCTGCCTCAGTTTCCTAATTTGTCATATGGCAGGAACAGGTGGTCAAAACAAGCCTCTGTGGGGTGAGCTGGACTTTGTGGAAACACTTCGGAGGTCAGGGACAGAGGGAAGAAACTTACACGTGGTGGCAGACACCTCCTTCCCAGACTGGCAGGGACTTGGTCTCCGAGAACAGGCGCGTGCAGGGCTGGGGCTGCTTTTTACAGGCTGCAGAGCACAAAAGAGGCCGAGGCTCACCGTGGCTCGGGCCCTGGCTGCCCTCTCCAGCACCCTTGGGAGACCCACACCCGGCTGGGGTCCTTGGAGCCTGCAGGCTGGTTCCTCTCAGGGCTTACTCCAAAAGTCTTCTGAGGGAGGCCTGTGACCCTTTTTCCTCCCACCACCTTTGGCCCCTGAGCCAAAAATAGCCCCCCCAGCCACCTCTCACTGTGGGGGTGGCTGTCGCTCTGTGTTCCTTACTTTCTGGCTGTCCCCAGATCCCCCACTTATCCAGGCTGCACCTTTTGGCCTGGCACTCTGGGGCTGTGAGCAGCCCAGTGATTCATTGCCTGCCACCTCCGTGCCCGGACACCTGGAAGTCTGGGCACTTCATGGCAAACCCACCCTGGCCCAGCAGTCTCAGCCCAGCCTGCTGTAACAGGCATCTCAAGGCCAGGCCTGAACGGGCCCTGACTTACCAAGCTCGCAGCGCCTGCCTTTGAACCCTGGGCTGCAGTCACAGCTGTGGGTGTCCACGCCTGGCACGCAGGTGCCTCCGTTCTGACAGGGGTTTTCTGTACAGTTCCCAGGGGTGTCTGCAAACAGGTCATGAGTGGTTAGTCTCTAGGACCCCAGAGGAAGGCCTGCTGGCATTGCCACATTGTGGTCCCGTTTCAGGTGGTCAGAGAGATGCTTGGCTCTGACCCCATTACCTTGAGGGCCAGGGTCCAAACAGTGCTTCTGCTGGGACCCTCAGTGCTGAGCCCTCCGTGGCGGAGGAGCCTCGAGTCACTGCTTAGATTATGGTCGGGCACTGGTGGTCTCAGGAGAGACTCCTGGCTCTGCCCTAGCCTGTGCTTCCACCCCCTTCTCTCCGGATGGAGGACTGTGCTGGGGACAGTCTAGGCCCGGTGTGGCCCAGTGTCAGCAGGGGCCCTGCTGGCCCTGTTCGCCGAGCCTGGGTCTGCCAGGTGGTGCTCCAGCTGGGCCATGCTCAGTGCTGCCCCTCTGTGGATTCCTGCCTTTTTCTCAACACGTTCCTCTGCAGGGAGGCGGTGGGAGGGCTGCCGTATGTGGTGAGGGGCAGGGGCAGGAGGGACAGGGGTACGTCCAGACAGATCTGGGTAGTTGGTCTGTAAAAGGACGTGGTGCCAAGTGCCTCCTTTCTGGGGTGGGGCATCTGGCTGCCCCTGGGGCAGGCTCAGTGCCTCCTGTTCCCACTCTGGGTGCTCAGCCCTGGAAGTCCATTCCTGCTGACTTACTTCCCACGTCCTTGTCGCCGTCACGTTTGGGGTGCTGCAGGGCCAGGCTGAGCTGCTCAGTGGTGTCCTCGAGCTGCACCAGAGCTGTGGGTTCTAGGAGAAACCAGGATGAGCAGTGCTGACCACATGGCCGGCTGCCTCTCACCCAGGACTGTCCCTGGGCCTTCTCCTGAGCTGCTTCTCTCCCTCAGGGTGTAGGGCCATCCTGTGTGGCAGGAGTAGGATGCTCACTCGCATGCTGGCTCCCCAACTTGGGCACAGAACCCATGGTCTCTGGCACTGTCTCCAGGAAGACCCACTTTTCTCCAAGTGGGGCCAGCCCTCACCTACTGCCAACCCTCCACAGGGACCCGGCTTCCACTGCTGCCCCGGCCAAAGCTTCTTTGTGAAGGTAATCAGTGGCCCGAGCAGGGCCGAACCTCCTGCTGACCTCCTGGCCTCAGCTTCTAAGTCTCCTTCAAACTCCATCTCCTCTCTGCCACCCCTGATTCTTGGGGGTGATGACACCTCCTCCCCATCATATCTGTGCTCAGGCAGATCGCACACTTGGCCGCCCCTAACTGCAGGTCAGCTTCTCTGCAGGTCCCTGCCTGTGCCCTCCCCACTCCTGGTCACCGAGGGCTATGGACGCTCTGCCCTCCCTCATCACTCCCTGGTGCACCTGTCCCCTGCCTAGGAACGCTGTCATTGGCGGAAACTTCTCATTGAACTGGTGATTAGGCTCTCTGCCAGAGAACTCTGTGAAGGTGAGATTCTGGCTTAGTAGTGAGGGTGAGGGTGAGGCCTGGGGATCCCCACCCATAGTCTGAGGTCGTCTGTGGCAGCCTGTGGGCCTGCCATGTCAGGATTTTGGGGAAGGCCTGCTTTGCCAGGAGGGAAGGGCCAGGGCTTCTCAATCCATTGCTCATGCCCTATGCTGCTGGGCCAGGCAGAGGTCCCGCTAGTCTGGGCCAAGCAGGACATAAACCCAAAGGCTCTGCTTTTAACATGGGATATGACCTCAGTGTGATGAGGATGTGAGCTCCTGGGGCCACACTGCGTGCCCGTCACCTGGCTCCTTCTTGGTAGACGGATTCCTCCTGCACAGCTCCGAGCAGGACCCTGCATGTCTAGCAGCCCCCAGGCTGGTGTTGCTGGTCCAGGGACCTCTGTGAGTAGCAACACCTCAGAGGGAGCCACACTCTCCTGTCTACTGCTTACCAACAATGCTTGGAGTCCTGGCTTCGCAAGCAAAGCTTCCATGTCTTGGACCTGCTTCTAATATGTTAACTTTTTCATCCTCTCTCATGTGCCCTGCCAGCAACCTGCACCCTCAACCCGTATCAGGAAGGTTCCTCTGACTCTGGATGGCGTGAGCAATTCATGCTGACCCCAGAGGCCAGGGCCGTGGGCACTGTCCAGAGGTGATGTAGGCACTGGGAGTCATCTTTGAGTTCAGGTTTAGGGGCCTCATCTCTCCTGTGCTGGGGGTGGTGAGTGACAGTGAGGCCACTAAGGTTGGCATTGGTACTCACGTGATCTCACGGTGACTGATTTGCCAGGTGAGCCACTGAACTTGGCACTCACTCGTCCTCTGCCGTCTACGAGCTCCGAGAACCTGCCGGGAGAGTCACTAGTGTCGCCACGCGGAGCTCCATGCCTAGGGCCATGCCAGGTTACCCAGAGGGGGCTGATGGTAGAGGCGTGTACCTGGGCGCCTGTGTTGGCATTTCGAGGGCCCCATGGTCACTGAGTAGACGCAGCTCCGGCAGGCGCGCTGGGACTGGTCTGTTTCTGAGCACCCGTGGGTGGAGTCCTTCTCGGTGCCAGCGTCTGTCGGAGCTGTCCCTTGGGGCTGCAGGCAGTGAATGACGGGGTGGGGGGCACATTAGGCAGGTCTGGGGCTTCCCTTTGTCTCCTCGCCCCACTGCTCAGAGAGAACTAAAGGGACCTGACCGTCCCTGCGGTCCAGTGGTGCCTTTATGGCTTTGTGAGAAGCCTAGACCCCACACCCCACCTGAGGAGGAGCCACAGCATTCCTACTGGGAAGCAGACACTGCCTGGCAGTGTTGAGGGGGGCTGGTCCTAGCCCCCCACCCTGGGCCCAGGTTCCCCACCTGTAGGGCAGGGCCAGGCACCCGACCTGGCGGGACTTCCCTTGGCTGAGGCCGCCACCCTACACTTGCCCTGAGAATGACAGTATGGTTTCTCGGTGGGTCCTTGTCATCTAGCTACGTGCTTCAGCCCCTGTACACCCCTCCTCCCTGGACCAGCTCATGGAGGTGGCCCCAACATGCCCTGGAGCTGAGCTGAGCTGAGCTGGGTCTGACTCCAAGCAGCCTGCCATGCTCAGAAACTCCATCTTCCACAGCACCTCCCGTGAGCTTTAAAGTATGAGCAGGGCCATGCAGAACCTCGGGGGGACCCGAAGGGCCTCCCTGCACTTGGGGGCAGGTCCACATCCTTAGTGTGGCCCATTGGAGCCGCCGTGCTCCTGAGCTGCTTCCCCTCCTGTCCATCCATTCTGGCTTTCCTTCCTGCCCCTCCCCGCAACCCCTCCTATGGCTGTCCTGGCCTCTCTTTCCCCTGCTCCTGTCCAGTGGCTCCTCTTGGGTCAGCCTGGCCCCCTCCCTGGGCCCTCCCACACTGCTCTCCTCACTGGGGTGCTACCATTGCCTTTTCTCAGCACCCATTTCTGGTGGTGCCCTATATTTGATGTTCAGCCTGTCTGGGGTCCACAGAGTTGGACGGCACAAGGTGAGGAGCAAAATGCTGCTTTTCCAAGTTGCATTCTGCTGACCCAGCATCAACTGTCCATGAACCCTTCCTTCCCCTCCGCTTTTCACACAAATTCACCCGTGTGGACACAGTCCTATTTCTAGGCTGTCTTTGGACAGTGTGGCCATGCGGGGTGAGGGTTGTGGGGTGCAGGTGGCCCACCCGGCTCTGTGCCCGCTGCCCTGCACTCACAGGTGATGATGTAGAGGTGAGCAGGCTCGCTGTGCAGCTGGTCACCCTCTGTGCTCTGCACGGCTGTCACTGAGAGCTGGTACCGCCGCCCGGGCACCAGGTCCCGTATCGTGTAGGACACCAGCCTCCCATTGGGGACGTAGCGGCTCTTGGTGCTCTGGCTGGTGGTCACGTTGATGACGTACGCCTCCAGTGAGGTGCCTGGAGTGGGGGCATCCCAGACCACATGGGCAGAGGTGGCTGTGACTCGGGTGGCAGTCAGGTTTGCTGGCGGCAGAGGCCCTGGAAGAGGCACAGAGCAGGGGAGGGAGGGGAAGGGGGCTGATGGGGTCTTGTGTCCAGGACATAGTTTAAAGATCTGACACGGCCTGCGGAAGCCACAGTTGAAGCCAGATTTAGTTACTGTGGTCCTGAAGGATGGGGGTGGGGGTCTGCAGCACTCTCCTCCTGTCCAGAGACCCACCCCCACAATGTGGCCCGCAGCACCCAGCAAGGCCCCGAGCCTGCTCAGTGTCCCCTCCTGTGTGGCACTTCTGACCCCCCTGAGCCTGGCCACACCCCTTCCCCTGGGATGTAGAAAAGGGGAGTGGGTCCCAGCATTCAGGGTCAGAGCAAGGACTTAAGCCTGTGCTGACTCCTTGCCCCACCTGGTCAGGCCCTGCTCACACCTTCCCTCTCACCAAGCCACCCGTTCCCCCACCCTCACCCTCCACCTTGTTCACCATCGACAGCACAGTGCTCAGGGTCCACCCCCCATGAGACACCCTAGAGCTCAGCGAGTGGGCTCCCTCGCCCGATGTTCCTCTGGAGCCGCTGGGTGTGAGGGTCAGCCCAGCAGGAGACGATGATACTGCCGGGCACACTGCTGTGTCCGGTACACTCAGCCCAGGGCTGGGGTCCTAGTGCCTCAGCCATTATGGAGAGCACTGGTGGGCTGGAGGGAGCTGAGAGCTCCCGCAGGCTCTGCTCACCACGAGCGGCCACACTGTACTCACGGGTCCACACGTGCAATGGAGTGGATGCCATGCTCTCAGTAGGGCGCTCCTGTGCCCCGAGCCCACTGAGGGCGGTCACCCGGACGGTGTATCTCCTTCCAGGAAGCAGGGCACTGTGGGGAGAGAGGACAGGATGGTCTCGGGCTATGTGTCCGGCTCTGTGGCCAGGCTGTGGATGGTCTCGAGTTGGTGGCTCAGGCGGCCTCCACGAGGGCAGATTTGTGGCCTGAGACCTGGGTGCTCCTTGGTAGGAAGCTGCTTCCTGTCTGTCTGTCCAGTGCAGTAAGTCCGAGAAGGCATAGGCCTGTCTGGAGTGCTTGGCATGGCCTGGAAGCTGATGTTCAGACAGGTAGGGGGCCCTTGGCTGGAATTCCCAGGTGGGTCCCCAGCCCCTCATGAATACGAGGGCCTCGCTGAGCCTAATGTTTGTGCAAAGTGTGGTACACACAGAGCCGTCGCCTCCTCCTGGGAGCCTGGACTCTTCCCCAGGCAGGGGGCGCCGTGACCAGCCCCAATAACCCTGGGCTCTGTGTCTCTGACTGGCTTCCCTGTCTGTCCTCACATGTGTCATCACAACTGGTGGTGGGGAATGAAGCGTGTCCAGTGTGGCTCCATGGGGAGGGGGCTCTGGGAGCTCATGCCTGGCCCCCAACCTTTCCCCGTAGGCCTTTTCCCTTCTGTGTGCTCATGACGTTTCTCTGTCACGGATTCAGCTGTACATGCAGCCTCAGTTGAGTCCTGAGAGTCCTCTCGGCAAGCCTGGGAGTGGTCTTGGGGACCCGACAGTCACCAAGTGCCCCTGGGGCCACAGGTGTTGTTTCTGTCATATATTCTTTGGAAGTGGGCAGGATGTCAATCAAGAAAAGTGACAGCAACACTTAAAGCAGAGTCTTGTCTCCAGCACAGATGACCATCTGGTGGGAGACCAACATGGCTGGAAAAAGATGGGTCTTGATGAGGCTGCAGACTAATCTTAAACAGTGCGGATAGGTTAGAGGGTGCCCAGGGATAGAGTCCCTCCCCCCTCATGACCTTGACCCCTGGCTGCTCTGGGCTGCACGCTGCTGTGCTGTTCCCATTAGCAGCCTGGCTATCTGTTGGCAAGCACAGTAACTGGATGGGAGTTTCCTCCGCTGGAGCTGTGTCTACTCTGCAGCCCCCAGAGTCCAGGGCCAAGGCCACCCCTCCCCAGGATTACCAGCCAGTCCCCTTCCTCACTCTCTCATTGTTTAGCACTGTCTGCCTGCCCAGCCAGCTGGGCTTGCTAAGTGCATCCCTCAGCCACAGTGGGGACTCCGTCAGGTGGACCTGCCCCAGGCTCCTGCCCCGGCAGGGCTGTGAAGGGCCCGGTGGCCTGATGTCTGATACCCTGTATGGGTCGTTAAGGTGGTGATTTCGATCAGCTATTTTGAATGAGTTCTGTTTGTCATTCATTTGTAATAATTGGGCATAAGAAGTTTATATGCCTGGGTTAAGGTTTGAACGTATCATTCGCCTGTTTTTTCCCCTCTCAGAGGGGTCTGTGTGACTCAGGCTGGAGGAGCTCTGCGTGACCGTGACAGGCTGGTCTCCAGGTAGCGAGTCTGTCTCACTCCCTTGCAGGAGATACAGCCTCCAGGTTTTTAGGGTGTCTCTGTTCTTTTGGGACTTAACCCCTTGTCTGGCATCCCTGTGAGGAAGTACTGAAGGAGTGAGCCCAGGCTGAGAGTAGCTGGGCCCTGTGTGGACCACCAGGTGCCAGTGGACACAGGAGGCACACACCTACCCCTCAGGTGGGCAGGGCCAGTGGCAACCATAGGGGAGCTGGAAGGAGGAGAGGAGGCCGGCCTGAGCTCTTACCTGAATGTGAACGTGTCCACACTTTTGTCCACATCGGTGGACTGGTCCTCTTGGGCCTCAGGGTGGCGGATGGACACACGGACACTGCTGACAGTGGCGTGACGTATCCTATGCAGAGCCCACCGCACGGAGATGGCGTTGGCCGTCACATTGGTGACCTCAAGGCCCTCGACAGGGCGGGGTCCTGGGAGACAAAGGGTTGCTCAGCCTTGCCAGCACCTCCTTACCCCTGGGAAGGCGGGGGCTCGAAACAACAGAAGAGGCTCAAGAAGGTGCTGGGAGAGGGGGGGTGGTCACACAAAGGCACCCAAGTAAGGCAGCAGCCAGCTGGGCTTGCTAAGTGCATCCCTCAGCCACAGTGGGGACTCCCGTCAGGTGGACCTGCCCCAGGCTCCTGCCCTGGCAGGGCTGTGAAGGGCCAGCCAGCTCCACCAGAGGCCAGCAGGTGGGTGCAGGACCCCTCCTGACACCCCCTTGTCTTTTCTCTGGCTGACGTTTTGGTCGCACTGATGTAATCATCAGGGCGGTGCTGGGGCCTGTCGGTGATAGAAGCTAAGAGAGTCCTCTGACCCAGAGAAGGGGCTGGGTGCAGACCAAACCCTGGACCAGGGGAGCGGAGGCGGGTGCTGCAGCACCAGTCCAGTGGGCAGTGGTCCTCCCACCCACCCTGGTGTCCTGGTGGAGACCCCATTCTGATGAGAAGGGGAGGCCATCTTCCTCCCAGATGCCTTTTCTGGGCAGACCCCTTCTCGAGGAGCTTTGAAAGTGCTCCTTCCTAAAGCCAAGCTCAGGACGATCCCTATTCTCCCTCGGACCCCCAGGACTCCAACGCTGCCACACGCTCAGGGCCCTGCTGTTCTTTCCCGCAACACGCCTATCTTGACTCCGTATCTGTCCCTCACTTGGCCCTCAGTGTCCACACGTTAGTGACCTGTGAGGGCTGCACACTGCCCCAGGACACCTTTCTGCTCCCTTCCCTGGGACCTTGCCTCCCAGCACCTGGTGTGGTAGGAGCTCAGCGCTGCCCAGGGCTGCACCCCCCAGTCCACCTTCTTCCCCCAGCCCCCCTTCCCCTGACTGCCCCCCCCCCCCCAGTGCTCTCCACCATCCCTAGTGGCTCCCACCCACCCGTCCCACTGCCCTTCCCCCATGACAGCCCCTCCTCCCACACTCCTCCACCAGCCTGGCTCCCTAACCCTGCCAGTCTATCAGCCTGTCTCTGCCCAGCCTGTGTCTGGGGTGGGCCACGCTGGGCGGACTCACGCGTGCGGGTGAGCAGCACCAGGGGCCTGCTGATGTCGTTCCTATTGTTGGCGTGGCGCTTGACCGAGAAGATGGAGATGTTGTAGGCCCTGCCGGCCCCCAGGGCTCGGAGCTGGTGGGAGGAGCGGCTCTGGTCCACAAAGTCGGTGCGGCGGAAGGAACCGTCAGCAGAGGCATAGGTGACCGCATACCCATCCAGCATCTGCCTGGCAGCCTGGCCTTCGGGTGGGTGCCAGGAGATGGTGACCCCACTCTCCTCCACTTGGTCCACCTTGAGGGCCGTTGGTGGGAAGAGCTCTTCAGGGTTTCAGTCAAGAACAAGGGAAGGGGGGTGGTCAGCTGTCGGCCATCAAAGCCCCAGACCCCAAGCAGGTACCCAGCCTGGTGGCTCTGGGGCCTGGCTACCCTGAGGTAGATGTGGGCACTGCTGGCAGGGAAGCCACTCCTGGCACCTGCAGGGGATGCTTTCATTTTGGTTTCTGGCTGTTGCTCCCGGGATAGGCTCTTGCATACACATGACCGCACCGAAGCCTCCTGGAGGGGCTCATGTGCACACGTGACTATTCATGCCACCTTCGACTTATGTGCCCCTCCCTCCTTCCCTGTAGATCAGCGGTTCTCAACCTGTGGGTCGCGATTCCTTTGGGAGTCGAACGACCCTTTCACAGGGGTCGCCTAAGACCATCAGAAAACACATATATAATTACATATTGTTTTTGTGATTAATCACTATGCTTTAATTATGTTCAATTTGTAACAATGAAAATACATCCTGCATATCAGATATTTACATCACGATTCATAACAGTAGCAAAATTACAGTTATGAAGTAGCAACGAAAATCATTTTATGGTTGGGGGTCACCACAACATGAGGAACTGTATTAAAGGGTCGCGGCATTAGGAAGGTTGAGAACCACTGCTGTAGATCCTGGGAAGCAGCTGTCAGACGCTCTGCCCTGGGTGGAGGGGGAGCCTTGACCCTTTGGCCTGTCATTTGGGGTGTCTACTGCCCTCTGAGTGAGGAATAGAGGCCCTACCACCTCATTCTGGTGCCCTTATGCCTCACCTTTGGCGCAGTCCTTGCCCGTGTAGCCCACTTTGCAGGTACAGCTGTGGGACCCATTGCTGGCCAGGCAGTAGCCACGACCCCCACAGGGGCTGGAGAAACAGGGATCACTCACTGGAGGAGGGGGGAAAGCAGCCTTGAGCTCTGGGGTGTCACCTGGCCCCCCACTGGCCTGGGCCTTGCTCTTGGGGGACTTGGTTGTTCCTGTGTGGGTGTGTTTTTGATGGAGGTGAGGGTACTATCAGGCAGCTTTTGGGGGGGCGGGAGTAGGAGAAGGGACACTCCAGGATGTGGGGTCAGGGCTCATCAGAAGCTGGGCAGGTGTGGCCTTCTGCCTCTGAGCCAGGCCATCTTCCCCCACCCCAAGCCAGGTGCCCTGGCAGGCAGTGACTTGGGGTGGGGTGAGCACAGTGCTAGCCCTTCCACGCCTCCCTCTGCACTGCGCTGTGGCTGGAGTCCCCACCCAGGGCAGGGCCCGCAGGTTCCCAGCATGGCCACAGGAAATACTTGCAAACCAGTAGCAAGTCCCTGTTCACTGTCTCAGCTGCTGATCTCAGGGCCCCCGCCTGCCCCAGGCCTGTTCACCAACAGTCCCCACCCTGCTTGTCCCTAGGCAGGCTCCTGTGTCTGCAGTCCCATCACAGGCCCTGTCCCTGGAAGCCCCGTCCACCCTGCACAGCTAAGTGCTGCCAGCCAGGCCCAGTTGGGGCTGGGGACATGCCCATAGCAGGTCAGCCTCCCCCATGGACACATCTGTTCTAGGAGAGTGGTGTGACAGCAAGTGGAGGGAATACAGATGAAACAACCCCATAGGGCAGGGAGTGCTGGGGACCCGTCAGAAGTCAGGGAATGCCTCATCTGGGAGAGACATGTCCCAGGGGGAGACTATTCCAGGTGTAGGAGTCGGGGGTGGGGGTGGGGTGCCCAGACCCTGAGCTGGAAAGCCTGGCCATCCAGGGACAGCAGGGGAGGTGGGGGAGCTTGCAAGGAGCCCAAGGAGGAGTGTCCGGGCCATGCCCACACCTGTCTCACAGTGGTAGCCGAAGAAACCCTCTGGGCAGACGCACAGGTAGGCCCCGCCACCGTTCTTGCACTGGCCTCCGTGCTGGCAGGGGCTGGAGTCGCAGGCATCCACCTCTGGAGAACACCCAAAGAGTGGGCCCGAGCGGCAAAGGGGTGTCTGGGGGAGGGAGGAGAGGACAGCGGGAAGAAGGGAAAGGGCGGCGTGGACGAGCCGGGGGTGGAAGTCTCTCTCATCCTTGGTGGGTGCCCAGCTCTCCCTTCACCCCTAGAATCCTGCCTGCCAGGGAATCTGTCCAGCAGGGCCAGGGTGGCTGCCCCCTCCGCTCTGCTCTCTGAGTGGCCCAGGGTCTGGGCTTTCAGAAAGCAGTTTTGCCTGGGTGTCTGGGGCATCTCAAGTGTGGGTGAGGGCCTGGGCACACAGGGGACCCACCCAAGCATAGCCCCTACCTGTCTCGCAGTGGACTCCAGTGAAGCCTGCGGGGCACTGGCACACAAAGGCTCCTGGGAGGTCCCTACAGGAGCCTCCGTTTCTGCAGGGCTGCGCCTGGCACTCATCTGTCTCTGCAAAGACAGGACACGGGGCTGCATGAGCCTACCTGGCCCCACATGGGCCTAATGGGCCTATAGGGCCCCACATGGTCTTATATGGGCTTACATGGGCCTCCATGGACTTACATGACCTCCAGGGTTCTGTGTTCAGCCTGAGGCTTCTACCTCACACCTGCCCTCTCTACTGCCTGTCCCACAAAGCCCCCACCCCAAGCTACTCCCAAGTTTACTGTCCAGGCTGGACATCCTGGGCCTGGCCCTCCCTGGGTGGTGTCACTGTCTCAAGGCTTAGAGCCCTACACAGGTGTAAGGAGTGCAGGGCTCATCCAGCAGTGCGCCTGGCAGGCCCTCATTCCCTCCGCCAGCTTGGAGCACTGGCCAGGTATCAGGGCTGTGACCTGCCCTCTCTGAACCCCATCTTGTCTGCCCCTGAAGCCAGAGTCTGCAGGAGCAGGAGAAGACAGTCAGTCAGTGTTTCTTAGCCAAGCTTCCAATCTCCCCAGGTAGGTGGAGGCAGAGCTGGCAGGGGCCTGAGTGTGTAGCCAGCCAGACACCAGCCAGGGTGAAGAGGGTCAGGGCAGGCCATGGACATGGCCAGGCTGCTGGAGCTGCTGCCCCATGGTGAGGGCCAGGCTGTCTTACCCAGCTCACAGTGGGCTCCTTCATGCCCCGGGCTGCAGATGCACAGGTACCCGGCGACTCGATCCTGGCAGGAGCCCCCATGCAGGCACGGCTGGGATCTGCACTCGTCAATTTCTGGGAGAGAGGAGTGCCCAGGTGCACGGGTGCCAGGAGAAATCCGAGAATAAAACAATGTTGCCGTCATTAGAAGCAATGGCTTGAAGCCAAATTAAGATGGACATAAATGAGTTTTGTTCTGAGGAGACACCATGGGACTCAATTTCCCAGCTCAGGTGGATGGGCCCAATCTTGCCAATTCACTTAAAAACAATCATGTACGAAAACAATAAAATGGGGTTGAGTCCTTTGTTTTAAAATGTTCACCCTGTGTGTTTCTTAAGCTGGGAGTTGTGCTACTGAATTCAAAATGTTCCATTTAGAAAAGTTTAATTTGAATGCTTAACAACATGTCAGTAAATAGATGGTAATGATATAATGACTCCTGGAGCTGCACTCAACCTGGGCACTAGAATGCTGATGGCTCAGCAGGGCATATGCACATCCCCACCCCGTGTGACACGAATTTCTGTGGCTATCATTTCTGTGCCTGTTTAAATTTAAATTTTTATGAGTTGCCTAATTAATACTATAGATGGCTTTGCTTTTGCTTTTTATGAACTTTATCTATAGGATATTGTGGTATATGTACTCTTCTCTGTCTACGCTACATTAATAAGACATCTCCATGTTGCTGTGGGTCTCTGTGGGACCCCCTTTTCACTGCTGTATAATATTCCACAGTGTGATTATACTGTACTTTACCCATCCTTGTTTGGTGCACACTTGGGTTGGTCCTAGACTTCTTACTATTGCAAAACAAGTGTTTCTGTGTCTGCTTCCCCATCTACTGCTTGTGGATGTGCACCGAGAAGTGGAGTTGCCGGGAAACAGCTTATATGAACGGTCAGCTCGATGGGCAGATTACCAAGTGGTTTTCAAAGTGCTTAAACAATTCACACTTCCTCCAGCAGTTTTCTCACAAGTCCTGTGGATCCACATCCTCACCAACACATAGGCCTCTTCAACTTCGGAAGTTTGGCCAACTGCACGCATCTCGGTGTGCTTTTGATTGGCATATGGGTGATTGTTGCATTCTTTACGTTCACTGGTTCTGTGTACCTCCTCCTCCATGAAATGCCTGTTCATGAGTTTTGCTGATTTTCCTGTCAGGTTGATTATTCTTTTCTTATTGATTCATAGAGTTTTTCATATATTCTTGAAACCAGTTTGTACCTTACATTTCACTTTCTTCTTTAAGTTCCTAATTTTTATATAGTCAATTTGTCCATTTTTCCCCTTTTATAGTTAGTGCTTTTTTTTTTCTGGTTTATGGCATCTTTTCTTACCCCAAGGCCAAAAAAAAAAAAAAATTTACCTATATTTCTCAAAGTGCATGAAAATTTTATTTCAGCTGTGGTGAAGATTTTCTCATCCTTTTAAAAGAAGTTTATAGCCCTAGCCGGTTTGGTTCAGTGGATAGAGCGTAGGCCTGTAGACTGAAAGGTCCTGTGTACCTATATTTCCCAAAGAAATATATATAGTTAAAAAGACATTTTAATCCTTAATCCATCTGGAATTGATTGTTGTGTATGGTGAGAAGTGGGCAACCAATGTAATATTTCTCAAAGTGCATGAAAATTTTGTTTCAGCTGTGGTGAAGATTTTCTCATCCTTTTTAAAGAAGTTTATAGCCCTAGCTGGTTTGGTTGAGTGGATAGAGCGTAGGCCTGTAGACTGAAAGGTCCTGGGTTCTATTCCGATCAAGGGTACAAGCCCAGGTTGCGGGCTTAATACCCAGTAGGGGGGTGTGCAGGAGGCAACCAATCAGTGATTCTCTCTCATCATTGATGTCTCTCTCTCTCTCTCTCTCTCTCTCTCTCTCTCTTTGTCTTCCTCTTCCTCTCTGAAATCAATAAAAATACATTTAAAAAGAAAGTTTATAATTTTGGCCTTTATATGGATGTTATAATGAATTTCACATATAAAAATTTATCATGATTTTGATACCATTATACATCATTTTTGTTTCACTTCATTTCCCAAGTGTTCACTGCTAGAATATGAAAATATAACTGGTTCTGTATGTTGACTCTGAATCCTGTGACCTCATTGAATTCACTTCTTAGTTCTATAGCTTCTTTTGTAGAATTGCCTTAGCATTTTCTGTGCTCACTATTGTGTCATCTTCACGGCTTCCTTTCCAGTAGACACACCCTTTATTTCCTCTTGTCCATGGCCCTGTCTGGGGTCTCCAGGACCACATTGGGAGGAGTTGGTGAGATGGACACATTTGTCTCAATACTGATTATGGCAGGAAGCCAGTCATCATTAAGTATATTATTGGCTGTTGAGTTTTTCATGGGTTCCTTTATCAGGTTGAAGAAATTCTCTTCTACTCTTAGTTTATTAAATTTTTAATAATAGTTGAATTTTGTCAAATGATTTTTCTGCCTCTATTGAGGTGATCATATGGTTTCCTCCTTTATCTCCTAATATGGTGTATTACATTGATTGATTTCCAGATGTTAAACCAGCCTGTGCTCTTGAGATAAATCCCACTTGGTCATGATGTGTTTTGCTTTTTATGTAGTACTAGGTTTAATTTAGTAACATATTGTTAGGATTTTTTTATGTATGTCATGAGAATGTTATCTTTAATTCACTTTTTGTAATGTCTCTGTCTTGTTTTGGTATCACAGAAATACTGGTCTCATAAAATAAGTAGAGAAATACTCCTTCCCCCTGTGTTTTCTAAAAGAGCTTGTATAGGGTATAATTCCTGTCTTAGATGCTTGATAGAATTCACCAGTGTTATGAAAATCTGGTCCTGATATTTTCTTTGCAGGAAGGTTTTTCATTCCAAATAAAATTTAATAGATATAGGGATATTCATATTTTCTAATTTTCCTTCTGCCAGTTCTGGTAATTTGTGTCTTTCAAGGTATTCATCCGTTTCATCTAGATATATTGGCCTAAAGTGCAATACCCCCTGTTGTCCTTTAAACATTGGTAGGGTCATTAGTGATGTCTCTTCTTTCAATCGAATATTGCCAATTTTTCTCTTTTTCTTGATCATTCTAGCTAGAGGTTATCTATTCATTGACTTTTCCAAGGAACCAGATTTTGGTTTCATTGATTTTTTCTGTATATATGTTTTTTATAATTAAATTCTCTAAATGTTTATTTATATACTAGAGGCCTGATCCACAAAATTTGAGCAAGGGGCTTGGCTCTCTCAGCCTTGGCGGCTGCCTCAGCCCTCGCAGCCCCACCCCAGAGGGCCCACAGATCACCATGGCACTGGGGAGGCTCACTCCAGACGCCCCGCAGCTGGCAGACTGGATGGAATTAGGGGCACTCAGGCTGTAGCCTTAGTCATGTGAGTGCCATGCCACCGAGCCCAGCCGTGTGCCGTTGAAGTGCCACATGACATGCATGACCTCCTCGGGGGGTGCAGTCCACCTCTGCAAGGACACAGCAGCCCCTTCTGCACAGCAGGGCACCTGCCCAGCCCCATTACTCTGCCCACCAGGCCACAGCTCGGAACCCCTGCTCCCCGCACAGCCTGTCCCATGGTGAAGGTGCCTTGACCTCCAGGAGGGCTGCCCAGAGGTTTCCTTTCCTTCTTCCCCTCTGTTCCCTCCACCCCCTGCACACTGTCCTCTGCTCTTCCAGGATTAGGAAGAACTCCTTGCCCCCACCCCAGTCTCCTGGCCCTCTCACCTGCCTGGCACCGGCGTCCTGTGTACCCTGCTCGGCAGCGGCAGAAGAAATCTGTGCCCAGGTCCTCGCAGGTACCCCCATTCACACAGGGGCTCCGGAAGCAGGGGGAAGGGGCTGCAAGGTCACAGGGGCCACTATCATCCATCACTTCTTCCCCCACTGGCCTCTGGGCTACACAGAGATGTCCCCTCTGTGCCGCTCTGCCTACCCCTCCACCCCTGCCATCCCCGCCTGGGCCGCCATGAGGGGCGTGTTTTCTGTCTCTAGTGGCCTGCATCCACCTTACCTATCTCACAGTGCCGCCCGGAGAAGCCTGGGGGACAGTCACACTTGTATTTGCCAATGTAGTGGAAGCAGGTGCCTCCATTGTGACAGGGCCCAGAGGCGCACGAGTCTGGCTTCCCTGGGAGCATAGGGCACAGTTGGGGTCAGGTGTCATATACCCACCACCTCTGCCCCTTCCCTGGTCCCCAGATCCCAAAGCAAACGTGGTGGGTCGGGGGTCCTGGTTCCCACCCCCGATTCCTAGCCGATCCCAGCTGGCAGGCCGCACCGATCTCACAGTGCCTCCCGGTGAAGCGGTAAGGGCAGTTGCACTGGTACTCGCCGCCTGCTTCCTTGCAGGTGCCCCCGTTCCGGCAGGGCCCCGAGCTGCACAGGCGCGGCCGGGCTGTGGAAGGACAGAGAGAGAGGGAGGCGGGTAAACAAAGGCTCACGGTACCCGCACCCATGTCTTCTCAGTCCTCAGGCACTTGTGGGCCCTGCAGGCTCTGGCCTGCTTCTCAGCCCCACAGGCCTGGCAGCAGCAGGGGCCAAGCCAGTCTGTAGATTCCCTCTCCACCTTGGGGCCTCTGCCCACCCCATCTCTCTCCTCTGCCCCGAGCCCTTCAAACTGCATGGAGGGGACCATCCAGGGTGGGCGCTGGTCAGTACTTAGGGAAGAATAGTTACACTCTCAAGTGGCTGTGTTGTTGACATTCTCCAAGTTGGATTAGATGTAACAAAATCCTAATGAATGTTTTTCAAATCAATGATTCTAAAAGCTATTTGAAAAAATGCTGAGCAGGAAACAAAGCCTATTCTGAGGAAAGCAGTGATGACCAGGGGGCCACAGACCAGATCCAGGAACCTCTGAACCATTGGAAGGGGAGTGCATTATTCCCGGGATGATAATTTAAAAACACAATAATAACAATAAAATTTGGACTGTGTAACATATTCAAAAATAAACTATATGATACCAATAGCCTGAAGCAGAGTGCACCAGCTCTCCCTGCAAAGGGCCTGCTATTAATATTTTTGGCTTTCCGGCCAGGTGGTCACAGGGCCAGCAATGCACTGACAAATACCCTCGGGCAGGGGGAGGAGCCAGGCCACTGGCGCTGTCCGGGGTGCTGACACCCACCTTTCTCGCAGTGCCTGCCATGGAACCCACGTGGGCACTCGCACGTGTAGGAGTCGTCCTGGGCCTCGCAGGAGCCTCCGTTGAAGCAGGGGTCTGAGTCGCAGGGTGAGGGCAGTGCTGTGGGGTCAGAGGGCAGCCCTGTTGTATTCTGGGCAAGAGGCTGGCAGGACCACCCTGATACCCTGGCTGGGACCTCGGCCCCTAAAATACACTCTGCTGGGTCTTGATTCCTCACTCAGGCTCCAAGGCCCCTCCCTGGAATTTCTCTTATCCTTGATTTTCCCAGAATTCAGCCTCCCTCTTCTAGGAGCTGGGATTGAGCTCACCAACACCATCATCACACATGTGGTGGTGGGGTTTAATCACATGCTGCATTAGGCACCAAATTCAGCCTCCTTCTTCTAGGAGCTGAGATTGAGCTCACCAACACCATCATCACACATAGTGGTGGTGGTGGGGTTTAATCACATGCTGCATTAGGCACCCGTTGACATGCTAGCAGCTAAGCTAGAGGCTTCGAAAGACACTGCATGGCACCTGCATGCGGCCAGGGGCCCTTTGGCTATCAGCCTGCTGCAGGGAAGATGGGAGGAGACCTGGCCTGTGTTAGAGGACTGCCTGCCAACTGGGTGGGGGTGCACCCACAGGTCCTCTGGTGCAACTCAGGGAAGCTGCCACTTTCCTCCCAAACACCCCCCACCCCCAGTTTGTGGGCACCATCCCAGCCCTCAGGCATGTGCACGCCCTCCACCCCTCTCACAGTGGCTGATGTTGTGGTCAGTGTGGCAGACGCACAGGTAGCTCCCGCTGTACTCCATGCAGTAGCCGCCATCGGGGCACTGGGTGTTCATGTTGCAGGGCGTGGCTGTGACTTCTGCTCGGGAGGAAGAAGCCCTGTCTCAGGTCTTCCTAGGGACCTGGTGTTCTTAACAAGGGTGGGGGTGTGCAAGACCCAGTGACCCCAACAGGGAGATCAGGTTCAGGCACTTTTATTGCCAGCTCCCTCCTGGGGTGGGGGTGGGGTTATAGAAACACTGGTGGAGGGTCTGACCTTGTGGATCCGGGTCCAGGCTGAAGCCACCTTCAAACCCTGGTTTGGAGGATAGTCAGGGGCAGGCAAGGTGTCCCCAGCTCAACTCTGGGCACCTACCAAATTCGCAGAGGAGCCCAAAGAAGCCCAGGGGGCACTGGCAGAGGGTGGTATTGCCCGCGAGACATCTGCCACCATTTCGGCACTCACAGTCATCAGGGGTTCCTGCCACGGAGAGAGGAAGGAGCCTCCGATGTGGGGGTGCTAGAGGGTGGAGCCCTTTCCTGACCCTGCCCTGCTCCTGGCGACCTTCCCATAAGAGCTGCTGTGTATACCCCCACATGCTCACACATTCTCTATCCTGCTGTTTGCATGCACACCCCACGGAGGCCCCAGCCCGGCCACACGCACTGTCCCTGCAGTCGAGGCCCATGAAGCCTTCGGGGCACTCGCACACGTAGCCCTCATCTGCGTCGACACAGGTGCCCCCGTTCTGGCAAGGGGCTGAGAGGCAGGGGTCAGGCACTGGCTGGCTTCCTGTAAGAAAGACAGTGGTCACCGGAGCAGCAGCACACATTGGGGTTTCCACCTCTGTTCCCAGTGCCAAGTGCAGTTTAAGCCGGAGGCCTATTTCCTGGGAGCTAATTTCCCGCTGCCCCTCCCCTGAGAGCCCCTCTTTGGAGCAGGATGAGAAGCAAGGATAAGAAGGGCCCATGGTGGGCACCGAAGGTCCCAGCAAGGCCGGAGGCCTCCAGATGGTTCTGCTCGAGCATCTCTTAGGAAAATACTGGGATTTTCCTGGTACCTTTCTGTTGTTGATTCTACTTTAATTTTGCTGTGGTCAGAGAACATAATCCTTTTGAATTTATTGAGCCTTATTTTATGGTGGCAGGACGGCCTGTCATGGCGAGTGCTCCCTGAGCACTGAAAAGAATGTGCGTCTGGATGCCCATCAGGCCAGGCGACCAATGGTGCTGGGCAGGTCCATCCTTGCTGGCTTCCTTCCCGTGTCCTGAGCTGCTGGCGTGTCCTGACCTCTCCACCGACAATGATCTGTGTCTCCTAGTGGTTCTGTGAGCTTTTGCTTCATGTATCTTGATACGTGTTAATAGTATATTTAAGATTGTTGATCCTCTTGGCGGATTTCTCTCTTTGTCATTATGAAAGGTTTCTCTTTGTCCCTGGCAGTATTTCTTGTTCTACAGAGAAGCCGGGTCAGATTCCCGGGATGAGTAATGGCCAACCCCTTCCTCTTCGTTTCTTCCATGTTCGGTTTCTTCACATAGTTTCAGAATTTATCTGTTAAATTAATACATAGTAAAGTTGACTTTTGTTGGCAGTGTACTTCCATGAATTGTAACGGGTGTAGATCTGTGTGACCCCGCCACACGTCCTATCACCCCCACGATGTCCCTGTTCTCTCTCCTCAGGGTCACAGATGCCCTCGGTCCACTTCACATGCAACGGACAGACCTGGCAATGTTTTATTCCCTTTACTCAGAGGTGGGTAAACTGTGGCCCACAGACCAAATCTTGCCTGCTGCCAATTTAAACACAAAGTTTCTTTGGACACTGCCATGCCCGGTCATTTATGTGTCATCTGTGGCTGGCTGCTTTTCATTACTCTGGCAGTGTTGAAGAGCTGTGACCACCTGGCCGGAAAGCCAAAAATATTAATAGCAGGCCCTTTGCAGGGAGAGCTGGTGCACTCTGCTTCAGGCTATTGGTATCATATAGTTTATTTTTGAATATGTTACATAGTCCAAATTTTATTGTTATAATTGTGTTTTTAAATTGTCATTAAGGTGATTAAAAGATAAAAAGAAAAGTTATATCTGCTCACATATTTACTATTTCTAGAACTCTTCATTCCTTGGTGTAGATCCAGATTTTCATCTGGTACCATTTTCTTCTATCTAAAGAGTTTCCTTTAGCATTTCTTGCAATGCAGATATGCTGGTGATGAATTCTCCCAGAGTTTTCTTTTTTTTAACTTTAAAAATATTTTTATTGATTTCAAAGAGGAAGGTAGAGGGAGAGAGAAACATCAATTATGAGAGAGAATCATTGATCAGCTGCCTCCTGCATGCCCCCTACTGGGAATCGAGCCCGAAACCTGGGCATGTGCCCTTGACTGGAATCAAACCCGGGACCCTTCAGTCTGCAGGCCGACGCTCTATCCACTGAGCCAAACCAGCTAGGGCTCAGAGTTTTCTCTGTTGGAAAATCTTTATTTCACCTGCATCTTTGAAAGTAGGTCGACAGTGTTTTCCTTTCTGCCCCACAGTCTGGCCTGCACGTCCCCGTTCCTCTGTTTGGATTCTGTTTTTTCCTCTGGCTGCTTCTAAGATTTTCTCTTTGTCACAGGTTTTCAGCAAGCTGACTGTGGTGTGGCTTCATGTGATTTCCTTAGTGCTTTTCTTGGACATGTGGGTCTTAGTTTTCATCAAATGTAGCGAATGTTTCTTCATATATTTTCGGTGCCCCCAGCACTCCCTCCTCCTGGGACTCCAAACGCACCACTAATCACTGAGAGCTGGACCTAGCCTTACTCTGCCTGTGCTGCGTGTGGAGCTGTTCCGTTTCTCTCTTCAAGTTCTCATATGTTTCCCTCTGCACTGTCTACCTACTGTGAATATGGTCCAGTGCAGTTTTAAAATTCAGACACTATATTTTTCTTTTCTTTTTTTAAAAAAATGTTATTGCTGGAAGTATTACAGATGTCCCCCTTTTTTCTGCCCATTACCCCCTTCCACCCGGTTTCCGCCCCACCCCAGGCCTTCACCACCCTATTGTCTGTGTCCATAGGTAATGCATATACATATAAGTTCTTTGGTTAATGTCTTCCTGCTTCCCCTCCCCCCTCCCTCTGAGATTCATCAGTCTGTTCCATGTTTCCATGCCCCTGGTTCTATTTTATTCATTAGTTTATTTTGTTCGTTAGATTCCTTGTTCATTTATTTTGATTTTTAGATTCAGTTGTTTATAGATATGTATTCATTGTCATTTTATTGTTTATATTTTTGATCCTCCTCCTCCTCCTCCTCCTCCTCCTTCTCCTTCTTCCTGTATACCCTTCAACATTTCTTGTAATACTGGTTTGCTGGTGAGGAACTCCTATAGCTTTTTCTTGTCTCAGACGTTCTTTATCTGACCTTCAATTCTGAATGATAGCTTTGCTGGGTAGAATAATCTTGGTTGTAAGTCCTTGCTATTCATCACTTGAATATTTCTTGCCACTCCCTTCTGGCCTGAAAAGTTTTGTTTGTTTTTTTTTAAAATATATTTTATTGATTTTTTACAGAGAGGAAGGGAGAGGGATAGAGAATTAGAAACATCGATGAGAGAGAAGCATCAATCAGCTGCCTCCTGCACACCCGCTACTGGGGATGTGCCCGCAACCAAGGTACATGCCCTTGACCGGAATCGAACCTGGGCCCCTTCAGTCTCCAGGCCGACGCTCTATCCAGTGAGCCAAACCGGCTAGGGCTGGCCTGAAAAGTTTTTATTGAGAAATCAGCTGACAGTCATATGGGCGCTCCCTTGTAGGTAACTAACTGCTTTTCTCTTGCTGCTTTTAAGATTTCTCTTTGTCTTTTGCTCTTGGCATTTTAATTATGATGTGTCCTGGTGTGGGCCTCCTTGGGTTCCACTTGTTTGGGACTCTCTGCACTTCCTGGACTTGTAAGTCTATTTCTTTCACCAGGTGGGGGAAGTTTTCTGTCATTATTTCTTCAAATAGGTTTTCAATATCTTCCTCTCTCTCTCTCTCTTCTCCTTCTGGCAGCCCCATAATGCAAATGTTGGTATGCTTGAAATTGTCCCAGAGGCTCCTTATACTATCTTCATATTTTTGGATTCTTTTTTCTTTTTTCTCTTCTGATTAGGTGTTCTTTGCTTCCTCATATCCCAAATTATTGATTTGATTCTCAGAATCCTCTGCTCTACTGTTGAATCCCATCCCTGTAAATTATTCTTTATTTCAGTTAGTGTATGTTTAATTTCTGACTGGTCCTTTTTCATGTCTTTGACATTCTCACTAAGATCCTTGGAAGTCTCTTGAAAATTCTTGAGTAACCTTATAACCATGGTTTTTTAACTATGTATCCAGTAGTTTGTCTGGCTTTCTAGTTCTTGACAGTAAGAGGGAAATTCTCAGCACAGCTAATCTTGCTTGGCAAGGAGCAGGAGGCCAGATTCTCTCTCTCACTCTCTTTAAATAATCTCCAAATTTTGGCCAACTTCTTGCTGGATCTGATTAGAATGTCAAGGTTTGTACCTTGTAATGTGGCTAATGAGCTGATATCAGGAATAGAATGTCAGTTCTGTTGTTTCTTCCTGCTTGCTTTCCTTTGCTTTATTCTTTTGTATAAAATGTGGTTTCTTATTTCGCGTAGCATAATATTCTCCAAGTCCCGCCTTGCTGTCTCAAAGGGTCAGAGAAAGACAAGTATCACATCATCTCACTCATATGTGGAATGAACAAAATAAACTAATGAACAAAATAGATCCAGAGACACAGAGCATGGAATAGACTATTGAATCTCAGGGAAGGGGTGTGTGTGTGAGTGAGTGGGTGGGATGAGATCAACCAAGGAACTTGTATGCATATATGCATAACCCATGGACACAGACAATAGTGTGGTGAAGGCCTAGGGTGGGAGGTGAGGGCAGGCTAGAAGGGGTCAATGGGGAAAAAAGGGAATATATGTAATACTTTCAACAATAAAGATTATTTTAAAATGCGGTTTCTTTGCAAAATCTTTTGAAATCACTTATGTTTTCTGACTTGCATTTAGTTAAACACGCTGATATTTAGATTAAAATCTGGACAAGGAGAACCGTGACATGTACAGTGATTTAAAGCAACCAAACCGGTAAGAGTGCCCCCCCACCCTGCCCTGCACAGCCTCACCCTCTTCTGAGGACACAGTGACCCATGGCAGGCACAGCATCCATCTGCATCTTACTTGCGCGCAAATATAATTTCCTCCTTAAGTTTTTAGACTCAAAGTAAATCGGACTAGATTGTCCTGAGTGTCTCCTGGGGAGAAGCTGTTCCTGCTGTGTGCACAGCTGTCCTGGCACAGGGGCCGAGGCCGCTGGAGGTTAGGGCGATGCCTTGAATGAAAGCCCTGGATTTAATCTGTGGGTTGTCACATCTAGTTGGTCTTTTAATTGATCTGAGTCATAACCAGCATTTAAAACAACATGAAATCGAGTGGAAACTAGCAGATCTCATCCCCAGTAATAAAGGTCAGTTTTCTTTCCGACTCCCACAGTGGTTCCCTCGCCTGGTGAGGGGTCTGGGGCACAAGGCAGTATGTTAAAAAGTCAGTGCTCTCCCCGAGAGTGGTCGCCATCCCTGCATGTAACCAGGAGACCAGGCCAAGAGGAGAACTGACAGCTCGGTCTCACACAGCACGTGGGTGGCACAGCCACGACCAGTTCCCCACAGAGGCTCAGGGACAGGCCAGTGCAGAAGACAGGGGCGGGGCTAAGCCAGACAGTGATGGAAAGAGGCCAGTGACCCCGAAAGCACTATCACCTTTGGGGGGTTACATGGCCATTACCTGCCTCGCAGCGTGGTCCCTCGAAGGGCCCTGTGCACAGACAGGTGAAGTTCCCCACAAGGTCGACACATGAGGCTCCGTTCAGGCACGGGCTGGAGCCGCATTCGTCCACGTCTGTGGGCAGTGGAGGTAGGAGCTGGGCTTCCAGCCAGCCTTTGACCACAGCTCCACATTTGGCCAGGAGTAGCCCTGCCCCTCCCGGCCCCGCCCCACCCCTCTCTGTTCATTCCCTCTCCGCGGCCCCCTCCCCACCTTCCCGGAGTGCAGGCCACTCACCTGTCTCACAGGTGTTGCCCGTGTAGCCCACTGGGCACTCGCACACCGCGGAGCCGCTGACCACCTGGCACTGGCCGCCATTCACACACTCTTTGGTGTCACATGGAGATTGTGCTACAAGTGCAGAGGGTGGAAGGCCGTTGGAGTCCTGGCTGCAGTGCCCCTGGGGCCTGTCAGGTGGTGGGGGGTCCTGACCAGGGCATTCCTCATCCACGGGCTGCTGAAAGCTCATCTGCTGAAAGCTGCTGTATAGAGTTTTGTTCAGCAGAGGGTGTGCATGCTGGATGGGGGCTTCGCTGAGCTGACTCAGAGCCGGACTCTGGGGCACTGGCTGAGGGAGTCTTTCCAGCCAGGTGGGGGGATACTGCCTGTGATGGAGACTTAAAGGGTGTGCAGTGCCCAGGGGTGCAGAAGGGGCCTCAATGGTCCTGGGGGATTGACATGTTGCTGCAGGGACATCGTATAAGGCACTCAGTCCCCAGTCAGAGTGGGAGTGAGCAGGTGCAGCCCACCTCTGTCCACCCTCCCACCACCCTTCACTGGGGATTCAGTCTTCCTGACTCCCTGGTGGTCACTGACAGCAGATCCAGGGATTGGGAGACCCTGCTTTGCCCCTGCTACATTGCCTGTCTCCAGGCAGCTCAATACAAGGACCAGATACATCATGGATGAATGAGCAGCCCTCTCTGGAGTGGTGCAGGGGCAGGGAGGGAAGGGAGGGAGGAAAGCAAGGGGAGGGCCCCACCCCCCCAGGTGTGGAGGTGCTTTGGTGGCTAAAGTCGTGGGCAGCATAGATGGGAGCACAGCTCTGAGCGAGCCTGTGACCACTCAAAGCCAGGGGTGTCTCAAGAAGGACCCCAACCCATACCCAGGCTGTGGGAGCTCTGGGGGTTGGAGAGAAACAGCTTCCATTCCTGCCAGAGCAGCTGGGGTTCAGGGTTCCAGGCTACAGGCAGGAAGAAGGTAGGGGGTGTTGGTGCTCCTCCCCACACCCCCACATTCTCTTCAAACCGGTTCTGGGGTGAGAGGGCTCGATGGCTCCTACCATACCCAGACCCTGCCACCAGTCTGGCTCTGACACGGGCCCAGTCTGGAACTGGGCCCTGGCCGGTTCCAAGGCCTCCTCCCTGGTCTAAACACTGGGGCTCAGGGGGCCCCAGTGCTGTGGTCAGTGCTCCTACCCTGGACCCTCAGGCCTCTCTGGTGACCCTTGCCTGGGGCCAAGCCCTCTGTGGCATGGCTGACCTGACGGCTCCCCCAGGCTGCCCACCACTCCTTGGCCGGGCAGGACCACCCGACCACCCTGCAGCCAGCAGAACTTGGGGGCCCAGGTGGTTTCCTCTTACCTGTCTCACAGGTGGGTCCCCCGAAGCCAGCTGGGCACTGGCAGCTGAAGCTGTTGACGCCGTGGGTGCAGGTCCCACCATTCTGACATGGGTGGGAAGCACACTCATCCACATCTGAAAAACAGGTGGGCTGGGGCCTCAGTGGAGGAACCAGGTTGGGAGGATCTGCCAGGCCTGGGAGGAGGGGGGAGGGGACAGCAAACCTGGCCTTCCTGGGCCTCACCCTGGGGCAGTGGCTCAGAGGGGCAGCTGTCACACCTGTCAGGAGGCCACTGTGTTTGGCACCCCCAGTGGTGCCCCCACCACAGGGACAGAGACCCTTGACCTCGGGCACGGGGCCACTGGCTGCACTTCCAGGGTTCCTTCAGAGCCCGTGCCTCCCAGTGGGTGGTGCCATGAGTGAACTCACCCAGTTGGCACCTCCTTCCTGTGAATCCAGAGAGGCAGGAGCAGGTGTAGGAGGGGTTGCCCGTGACACAGTCGTCAATGCACTTCCCACCATTCAGGCACGGGCGCAGGGTCAGGCACACGGAGGCTGCAGACACAGGAGGAGCAGAGCAGTCATCCCTCCACCCTCCCAGACCTAAAGGTTCCATCTCCAAGGAATGGCTGTCGCCCTCTGGCGGCAAAGCGTCCAGGGTTTTTCTTCCCAGGTCTGCGCAAGGGTTCCCCGGTGCCCCTGACGTCTGTCCTCTGCCTGTGTCTCCCCTGGATGTTGTTTCCTAAGCTGTGACCCTGGCTGCCGGTGAAGGGCAGGCTTTAGCACTCCTGACACCCACAGCACCTTCATATTCCATTAATCTATCAGCTTCCAAATTTGTCTGAGGGACTAAGAAGACAGGGACCTGAGGGGTCCCAGCAACATGGGGAGACACGAGTGCTCCTCGTGGACAAGGGGATCCCTGTGTGGAAACCACAGGTGGTGTGGGGAGCCCCTCAGACCCTCTGGCAGTTGCAGTCTGGTCCCAGCTCTGCCTCAGACAATTACATAATTCGGGCATGCCCCGTGCCCTCTGTTCCCCGTGTGCAACACCAGGTCTGTGCTCAGAGATGTTGAAACTGGTGCTTCCTGGCCAGGGTGGGGGGTGCCTCCTGGAGTCGCTCAGGGCCACACAACACTGCCCCTGCCCAGTCTTCTAGGAAAGGCAGCATGTAGAGCCCTCTGGAGAATCAAGGCTGCTGACATTTGCGGTTAATCAGCACAGATTGCCAGGTTATGGCTGCGTCCTGCCGTAACTCGAGTTACTGAGGGCCCCAGAGAGCTGGCATGGTGTCAGGGGTAGGAGCGGGGCACTCCGGGAAGTACCCTGTGGCCCAGAACGCCATCAGGCTGTGGGACTGCACCTTTCCATCACTTAGCTACATGTCACTCAGTCTGCGCTTTGGCTACACGGTGGTATGTGGCAGCTGACTGCACGAGCCCTGTCTCTGGACCAGCCTTGCTCAGGAGCTAGAGTTCCCGGTGTAGACGCACTGCCTCTCAGGTGTGAACCGACCCTCCCTTCCTGGTAAAGCTGAAGTGTGTAATCCCAGCACTGACCCACACTGGCTCCATCTCCTGGGCTTGCAGTGTGGGTGGGGACACCAGGGGGCTGGTCCTCCCCGCAGCACTGCTCCCAGGGCCTCTGCAGTAGTTTGGAGGGCCCAGTGTGCCTGCTCCATCTGCTCCCCCACCGAGGCCTGGGACAGAGAGGGAGGCACCTCTACATGGAAAAGGGGTCCACAAAGGACGGTGGGCCCTCTTCTGAGGACCCCACTCCTCAGGGTCACAGCCTGCAGCCTCCGCAGAGGAGCATGGACCTGCCCACACCTGCACCCATACCTGTTCATCCACCTGTCCCCACTTGTACTGACACCCACCCACACCAGTCCACACCTGCACCCACACCCTACTCTTCAACCACAGCCCAAGCCCCTGAGCCACCACTGACCAGAGCCCCCCTGGGGCTGCAGGAGAGCTTGGCTCTTAGGTGCCCTGCTTGCTACTCTGGGGTAGGGAGAGAAATCATTGGCACCTGGTGCCATGAGCCCCTCACCCCCTAAGCTCAGTCTCTCAACTGGGGGCTATTGGGTGCTCCAGTGGGTGGGCAGACTCAGTTCCCAGGTCTCTCTCAGGGGGATACCATCCTTAGTTGTCTGTGATTCTTTCTGCCCCAAGCATTGTCATGGGTGGGGGCTCGGTGTCTGTCCCTCATGCACTCACACCCTACCCGGCCCTGGCCCTGGGGTGCATGCCTGCCTCCGTGGGTGGGCTCTCACCCATTTTATTTTAGGGCGAGCAGCCCTTCCCAGTGGCCTGGGTCTCCATGGGTTAGAGGTGAGTTGGGGGTGGTGGGAGGTCCCAGAATCGGCCTCAGAATGGCCAGGGCTTGGCAGGGCTTATGATCAGCCCCTCTAGGTGGAGTGGCTGAGTCAACCACTGACACCCTCCCTCTATGGAGGGTCTGTGACTCGCCCAGTGCCACACACCCTTCTGCAGCCAGTCCGACTGTCCCCACCGGTCACGTGCTCTCCCCTGGGGTGGACCCTTCCTCCTCTGCAGTGTGTTCTGAGCCGGAAGGCCCCCGGGTGTCAGGGACCCTTGGGTGTCTCCCTCCCGGCGGGTAGATGGATGTCCGGGTTGTCAAAAAAGCTGCAAGTCCCAGCAGAAAAGGTGAAATGGGGTGAACAGAACATCTGTTTCCCAGGTGGTCAGGGGACACAGGTGGCCGCGGACGCCCATCTCGACCCAGGAAGGAGGCTGGGCTCCTCCCCTTTGCACCGCAAACCTTGGGCTCCAGCGGGATCCCCGGCCCCGCAGCTGAGGCGCGAAGGCCCCCTCCCCCAC